TTCTTAACTTCAATCTTCAGCCAAGTCTCTTCTTTCATTTTCCTGTGTTAGCTTTTCTTTATTTATACATTCTGGGGTCAGGAAAAAAAAAATAAAAACAAGAAAAAAGGGTCTTTTGTTTTGTGGGGAAGAGTTAGAAACCAGGTAGCCAAAATTGTACCTATAGCATCTGCTGTTGCCTTTAAGTCCCCAAATAATCAACATGGGGCAGTTTTTTTCTTCTCCTGCATTGATCAGTATAGAAAATGACTTTCTGATTCAGAAACTTTTAGAGTTAATAGCAGAAGTCATCCATAACATGAGAGAATTACATCGAGAGAGGAAATGGGGCCCAGGGAGGTGGAGTAGTTTATCCAGAGTCACTTAGGTAGGAGGCTCTTCTGTCTTCTTTGGAAAAGGATTCCTAACAATCTCTTGTGAATCACAGTATGAACCCAGAATACTTAATGTTTCTGATGGAAGTTCTCCTTGAGTTTTTCTGTCATTTCTAACATGACACCTTGAGGCCAGTGTATAACAAAGTGAAGTTGATTCTAGACAGAAAATGCTTGACTGATTCCATTCATTGCCCAGGTCAAGTGCAGAATTCATGAGAACAGAATAACAAACAAATGAGTGAATGAATATATACATATGTGCGTGCACATAAAAGTACATAAATTTAAAAAAGAAATATTGTTTTTGGTTTCAAACAGGTTAACCTTAGTCATGGCAAACACCATCCAAATACCTGGTTCCTCATTCCCTAGGCAAAATTTCAGTTTCTATCAATTTTAACAGTAAGAAAATGTGATTCCTAAGTTATTGAGGCAGACACTTGTTGGCCAAATCTCCTGCTGTACTCCTTTACACAGTGGCCAAGTCACTTACCCCTAGGGTGCCAAGCAAACAATCTATTCCTTTCAAGTGTCATTGAATCTCTGCTTTTCCTTTCCTTTGTCATTTGTCACAATGAATACCTAGGTTAAGTACTTAGCACTCCACATGCAGACCCTCCATGTTAACCAATGACTGCCTTTAAGCACTAACATAAACCCTGGCTTGTGCACAGGCAAAGAAGAAACAGATGTAGCAATGATGCAGTAGCTTTGGTTCCATTTCGTCGGTGTAAAAAAATCAAGCTGGCTTGCTCTTGGAGACAAAAGTAAGATGGTATTTTCCCAATGGGGAGGACATAAAAATACTGACATGCTTAGTAAATAAACAAGACCATTGCAGGTGTGCTAACACAGCAGAGTGAGCTGCAGGGGTGGGGAATGTCAATCCTTAGGATCCTCCCCACTCCAGCTGCTCTCATGTCATAGTACATTGTGATTTTCTGGAATCCTTCTCATGTGTGTGTATGTGCATATGTATGTGTGTGTGTGTGTGTGTGTGTGTGCACGTGCGCACACATCTGTATTTCAGAGTTATCTGGAGCAAGCTGACCAGGAGAAGCCGATGATTTCCTAGATGCACATACACTGTGCTTGACAAGGTCAGCTGCATTCCCATGCTTCTCTGTGTTGTCTTTCTTCATTCCCCAAGGATCCCAGCAAGGTCAGAGCCTGGGGATGAGTTCAGCTAACTAGGCTCAACTTTGGAATGGGAAAAGATGGCCACTGCTGAGAATTCTTCCCACAGAATAACTGATTTACAAATCCAAAGGGAACAACAAGCCAAAGGCTCATTGAGTGGCTCAGCTTTTCTGTGTTTCTCCCTTTCTAGCCAATTCTTCTTTGGGAGCCTCATGCCTTAGAATGCACCCATCCAGAGAGCAGCTCTCTGGGCAAGCCATTGTCCTTGTCTCCTTTCCTCCTGCAGCTTCCTGCAGTGGCCCACATTTTAACCAAAATATCTTATGAAGGGCAAATTTTATTTCAGAGATCTCCACTTATCGAACTATGTTCAAGGCTTTTGAAAGTGCATGGAAGGAGGTGAATATTAAAGTTGTCCTTTCTTGAGATGTTCTAGAAGTGACAGAAAACACGAAGCTTTGAAAGAATCTGGTGTTTGAGAAGAAAGAATGGAACAACAGTAGGGAAAAGTTTCACTTGGTGGCCCTACCAGAGAGATGGACAGTGAGGGTAATAATTGTATTAATGACACTCACCGATGACCCAGATGCAGCACCAGACACTTCACAAGAGGTTTACTCATATTAGCTCACTGAGCTTCACAGCCAGCCCTGTTACAGATGAAGTGTGATGAGGTTAAGTGATTTGACCATGCTCCCACAGCTAGTAAATGTTGGGGAAAGGGGTGCTCATTTGAACTTAAGTTGCTTCTGACTCCAAGCTCAGTACAGATAGGCAGCTCCAAAACTGACTCCTCATGCTAGTGAGTGGAAGCGTGGTTCATCTAAAGCTAAGCCAGTTGATTCCCTTAGTGACTGTTGCTGCTGCTGCTGCTCATGAGGAAGGGGCCAACGAGAAGATTCACTTCCATCTGTAGCACTCCCCTCACAACAGTCTAGTGTGCTAGTGAAGCTAAGGATTCTCACCATCGTTTTCCGGATGAGGACCGTTGGAGGTCTGACAGGTGAGGTGACTTAGAAGCGATTCCACCTTGGGCTTCCCTGACTTTGTCCACACTACCCCCCATGCCCAACCCATTCTCCTTCCTCCCTTGTGCTTGTCAGAGCCCCCAGCTCCCTCCAGGGCTCAGCTCATGTGCTGATTTCTCTGCATTATAGATTTGAGAGTTGGAAAGGTCTGAAGAGGTCAGCGAATCCATCTCCTTGACTTTATAGACAAGGAAACTGAGGGTCAGAGCATTGACTTGCTGCCTATGATTGCACAACTAGTGTGTGAGGTGGGATTTGAAGCCAAGTCTTCCCGTCTCCAAGCCCATCACTCTGTCCACTACAGCTGGCTGCTTTTTGTGATTCCTCAAAGTTGTTACTCTCTACCTCACCCCTACTTGGACCAAGTCACTCAGCATTTAGTACTTTGTAAATCCTGGATTTTCTGGTGTGGGAAATGTATCACCCTAGGAGACTGTGGGCTCCTTGAGGGCAACGGTGGTCTCACTTTTGCATCTGTATCTCTAGGACCTAGCCCAGTACCTGGCACATAGTAGGCACTTTCCATTAATGGCTGTTGATTAATTGATTCTGGTTCCCCTTTAAAAACTCAAGTGGCTGGTGCATCCCTTCTTGGATTCAGTCACTTCTGAGGCTCCTACCAGCTCTCAGTCAATGATCTGCTGCTTTTATCCTAATGCAAATTGGCCCAAGATCAGATAACCATTGGAAATCTGGCCTTCCTTGGCTTATGGCCACATTTATTTCAATCTGGCAAATTTCTGATGCAGTCCTGAATCTGAGTACTCAATGAGCTTCCCCTCCCTCTGCTGGATATTTGCAGTAATGGCTCCCTATTACTTGGAAGTAGCAGAAGTGAATGACAATGCCTTAACTCTGCAAGAAAGATCATGAGATCACAGGTGGCCAGTACAGCTGCAGGGGGACTGCTTGAGACCTCATCTAACAATCCCTCCCATTTTAACCTGGAGAAGCTGAGGCTTAGAGAGATCAAGTGATTTGCCCAAGATGGCCCAACTAGTAAATTTCCAACCCAGAAGTCAAAGTCAGATTTCATGACTCCCAATTCAGCATTCTCTCTGGTATTTTCAGCTCCATACAAAGTGGGCCCTGAATTATCAGGGAAGCCTGCCCATGACTCAGGAGATCAGAAAACTGTAGATGGAGTTCAGTCTGAAAGTAAGACTAACAGAGAAGGGGAAAAAATGGATTCTAGAGATGAAAAGTAATCAATAAATCAAATACAAACATAATCTTAGCTTTCCGAATACTTTCAAAGGTTATAATTTAATAATTCAGGTGGGTAATTTTTGGACTTTTTTATAGACTATCTTCTAAGGACTTAAAACATCTCCAATGCTAAATTCCTGCCTGAGAAGCAGAGCAATTTCTAGCTCACAGAAAGACAGCATGGTGCAAAAGTTCTAGTCAAGGAAAGCCCACTGCAGCTGGCTGAAAGATCCCCCCCTGTGCTGTTTGACAAGGAAGGGTCTCTAGAGAAACCCTGGGAGGGGGGAGAGAAGGGACGGGGGAGAAACAGACTCTTTCTGAGCTTGCTTTCATGGAAGTCTACAAACAAATTGTGTCCTCTCAGCCCCATTGCTACTCACAGCCAAAGCCAAGTGGTCAATTATCCTCTCTGATCCCAGATGTGCCTGTAAGAAGAAACACAGCTCAGGGAGAGAGGGCTGCCCTGGTTCTCAGCTAAATTGTATCTTACTCAATAAATGGAATACATTTGCTCAAAGCCAAAAGAAGAAAAACAAATACTCTTTTCTGTTTTATTTTTTATGTGAAGAAACTTTATTATTGGTAGGCTCAAGTTTGTTAAATTAACAGAATGCTTTATGGGCTTGTTAATTTAGTTTTATTTTTTTGGCTTGTTTTTCAGTAGACAGCACCCTCATGGGCCAAGTCTGTCCAGCTTTACAAACAGAGACACTGAGGTACAGGAAGATATCACTTGCCAAGAATAACATCTGGACCAGGAGTGAGGTCTCTTCCAGACTTGCTATGCTTGACTGCCAGCTGCCTTTCCAGTCTTATGATTCCATTACTCTCTTGGATCCAGCTAAACTGTCCCTTTTAGCATTTTTTCATAGACAACACTTCATTCCTCATCTCCATGACTTTGCAGAGGAGATTCCTCCTGCCTCCTCATCTGAACGTCTTAGAATCTGGGCTTTGCTTCAAATGCTGCTTGATCTCCTCAGCCTCTAGTACCCTCTTCTGCCCCAGCATGTCGGTCTCTATTAATACATGCACATTTTCTTTCCCCCTGATAGGAAGTAAGTTAGAGGGCAGGACCATTCTTACTTTGGTATTAGCACATTGCCAGAGATTGGGCATCCTTTTTCTCTCTGTCTTCTTTGGGGCCACGTCAGATGAAGAATTACATTTGAATATGAGACCTGTGTCCATGATGTCAGCCCCTCATGGAGTCTGTATTAAGAAGTCAGAAAATGGACGATTGACCTTTCAATGGGTTGGCTATTGTGTGGACGATAATGACCTTTGGTCCTTATGGAAAATGCTCTGGATTACAATCTGCTTGTTTTCTGAGCATCTTCATATGGAGGTGGGGGTCCCAAAGGGACAATACAGGATGGAGAATGCAGCTCAGGGTATGGAGAATGGAGGTCACCTCTTACTGTTGGAGCCATGACTGCTTCTCTGCCTGGAAAAACAAAGATGGAGTGGAGTGACCTTTCTATGCAGTACAAAACAGAACTGTATCATCCACCCATTGAAAAATGCCCCTTTTTGGACTAAGGGAACAACAGAAATCTATGTGGAGCAATATTTCACACAAATACACACACACACACACACACACACACACACACACACACATACTACCCTACACTTAGCTAGAAAAATTTACTTCCTGGAATGTGTGATGGGGAATTCAAGAAACATTTACAATTTAACAGCCAAAACTAGAGATCCCATCACCATTGGTAGCTATAATGTGCTAGCATGTGAAAAGCCAAGGTACTTCTGCCAATGGCTCCATTCTAGGAGGCAAAGGCTAACCATAAGAGAGCGGTCACTGGCTTCCTGGCTTCTATTCCCTTGTCTTTTCTTAATTTGCTATTCATTCATTAATTACGATGGATAGGATTGATGACTTTCAAGCCCCTTCTGCTGTTAAAATAGAACCCAAAGGCTAAGTTGAATTCTATTTTGAATCTATAGAGTTTCAGAATAAAGTTCAACTATATGGGGGGGGATAGGCACAGTGAAATCAAGACCTCATTAAATGTTGTTTTTCATCAGAATTCTCTTGTCCCAGAACAGATGATAAGATAGAAATCAGATAATTGGGAAAATACACTGGAATTGATGCAACCAGAGGAGGTTTTCCCACTTCAAAATAGTCCCATTGCAAAGTTCCACACTTATTTCCATGATGGTGATATTTTATGAACTTTTGTTTCTAAACCAACAGTTATATAATGCTTTAAAGTTTACAAAGCACTTTTTTTTGTTATTCTGAACTTGGCCAACCAAAAAAAGCATATCAATAGATAGATAGATACATGGCAGAAAAATCGGCCAACAGACAAAAAATGGCTCTACGTGACTTTTGGACATTTCCAGGAAGAAAATCCATTCATCACAGACTGACACTAGTGTATTCTCTGAAGGTAGTTCAAAAAAGGAATATACTAATGATGGTGATGATGATGCTGATAGTGGTGGTGGAAATAATAAACATTTATGCTGGGCAGAGCCAAGATGGTAAAGGAGAGGCAGGCATTCTTAAGATCTCTTACAACATTCCCTTTTAAACAACTTTAAAATAACACTGGAAATTGAATTCTGGAGTGGAAGAGCCAACAAAAGGTCAGGATGAAACAATTTTCCAGCCCAAGACAAATTAGGAAGTCATCATGGAATGACTGTCATACAGAGTCAGTGGTCAGGCCCACAGTGCAATGCAGGTCTCAGCCGGGCTATGACAGCAGCAGGTGTTAGAGGCAGCTGCAACAGAGTCAGAAGCAGTTTTGGGAAGTCTCATCCCACAGAAAGTAAGGGGGTCAGAGAACTAGTCAGAAAAAGATAAAACAAAAAAGGAACAAGGAGCTACTTGTACAAAAATATATTTATAACAGCTATGTTTGGGGTAGTAAAGAATTGGAAAATGAAGGCATGCCCATCAATTGTGGAATGGCTGAACAAGTTGTCTTATATGATCATGATGGAATATTATTGTGCTATAAGAAACTATGAGCAGGATACTTTCAGAATAATCTGGGAAGACATCATTCATTGTTCATCTTTTGTTTTCAAAGAGAACCAATTACATCACAGGGTGTCAATAACATCATGATGTCTTGACTTATTCATGAATTGGATTTAAATGAGGCAGAGTAGTACACAGTCAGCAGCCTCACTCTCTCTTCCAGAGTCATCAATGACCAGTGGCAAAAAAAACAAACAAAACCTCAGAATGTTTGGTGAGCTCCTAGATAAAGTGGATGATGTTGGCATCTTTGATGTCTGACCAAGTTCTAAAGCAGCACCTGCTTCAACTGCCTTCATACCTGTTGGAACATATTGTTTTCATCCACCTCTTCTTCCTTGGGGAACTCTTCACATACTTGGGGTAGACATTCCCCTAATTCCCCAATGGGCTTGAGGCCTGTCACTTACTCTCAACCTGCTTTAGCCTGTTTGCTGAGATGGCACCCGGGCTGCTCATCTAGCTTTGGTGTTCACCTGCCACCCGGCTCTCACTTGTGGCTCCAAGAAGCTATAGAATGTGCAGCAGCCACACCTCGGAAGACTAATATGAACTCATGCAAAGTGAAATGAGCAGAACAAGGAAAACGCTATACACAGTCGCAGCAATAACGTTCAATGATCAGCTGTGAATGACTTAGCCATTCCCAACAACACAATGATGATGTAAGACAATTCTGAAGGACTTATGATGAAAAAGTGCTCTCCACTTCTGGAGAAAAAATACTGACAGTCTGAATGCAGATCAAAACATACTTTTCAAACTTTATTTTTCTTGGGTTTTTTGTTTTGTTTTGTTTTTTGGCAACATAGCTAATATGGAAATATATTTTGCATTAATTCACGTGTATAATCTATACCAAATTGTCTTCTCAAAAAGGGGGTAGGGGAGGGAGGGAGAGAATTTGTAATTCAAAATTAAAAAAATGTTAAATTTTTAAACATATAATTGAGAAATATTTATGAGAATAAGTAAAATATATTGGGGAAAAGCTAATATATACATATGAAGAAAATAAGGACACAGAGAAATTTAATTATTTGCCTAAGGTCATAAAATTAGGAGGTGTCCAAGGTAGAAATTGAACTCAGGCTGTAACCCTCTACTTGTGTTACCAACTGGTTGACCAGTTGCTGCTCAGTTTATCAAGTGAAGCATGGTTGAAATAAGTGCCTAGTCTCTTCTGGTGACTACCTTGAAGGACACAATACTCATCTCCACGTTTAAGATTATTGTCTATATGTGAAAAGAATCAGTCATATGACTGACCTTACATTTCCACATTTCTAAGCTTCGCCATCCTCCTCAGAAACATTATCATCATTCATATTGAGACACAGGCAGGAGAATGGCAAGTCAAGGGCTAACAGGAGAGGCCTGGGGTATGGCCAAGCACAGCAACTAGTTGTAAATCTTCAGTTCATTATTCTCCTGAGGCCACATCAGTAATTAGTCAATGGAAAATTATGGAAATATGGAACATCTAGACAGTGCCCAATTGTCAATTGGGAAGCTTACACTAATATGAAGATGTCTTTAAGGATCATTTGACTTAGAATGAAAAGGGATTTTTGCCTGAGTTCCTTCATTTTTCAGAGGAAATTGAAGCCCAAAGGAGGGAATTGGCCAAGACCGTGCAGGTCAAAAGTTGAAGAGTCTGGATTTGAACCTGTGTCTTCTGAGTTCAGATCTGGAGATGTAGCCATGGCTGCTTCATTAGAGGCTAATACTGAGAGCCAAGCTGGGCATCATTCCTTGGCCACATATGTCTTGATAACTTACTTTTAACTTCTCCTGAAGTTACTATGCTGTCTTATGGAACAGTCCCAGGTGTGTTCAATGGAGAGTTGAGGGTGATGGTCACTGAATTAGTCGTCTGGGTAGGAGCTTCTTGTCTTCATCTATCACTACCAATGATAATCCCCAGGCAATCAAACCCTGATAATTGCTCTCAGTTGAGAACATGCTTTATTGTTCTCTTCTTTACACCAATTTAGTATCTGTGCTTAAATTTACAAGGAAATCAAAGCTACAGGGAAAAACAAAACAAACCAAAACAGAAAAGCGACAAGCAAAACCATAAAATGAGAACAGCAGCTGGCAAAATAACCCTGCACCCGATGATGTCCACTTGTCTCAAAAGTCTTTGATAGAAGGAATTGGTTTCCTTGCAAATTACAACATTTAAGAGAGTCTCAAGGGCTGTGAAGGAGGTGGTGTAATATGCATAGTTCTTCCTCTTGGTATCCTGTCTTTGGGACCCAGCTTGGGCTTTCCCATTTCTGAGCTTTTGCTTGTAAGGATCTTGTTTAGAAGCACACTCCCTTCTTTTTGCGTTACGCAAATCTTCGTATAAGGAATTCATGGGGGAACTTCCCACATTATTTTAATTCACTTAACAGGCCTATGAGATTTGTTTTAGAAGCATTGATTATCCATGAGTTGAGTATTGATATTACCACAGGAATAGTTGAACAAAAAGGAGGACAGTTCTTAGTGGCTGGGGATGGCTCCGAGTGAGTCAGTTGGTTGGAAGGCATACTTTGGTAGGTTCTAGGGAGTGGGTCTTCAGGGACTGGGGCTGCCCCCAAAGAATTCTTTAGCGATCCTTAGTAAGTGGTTATTGAACCTTTGTTTGAAGAACTCTAAAGAGGGGAGAGGGATCACTTCCTCCCAAGCAGCACTTCCGCCTTTGCTTTGCTCAGCATGTTGATAAGTTCTTCCTGACCTTGAGCCTACGCTTGACTTTGTGCAATAGCTCTGCTCTCCATTGTTCTTAGTTTGGGGTTTTGTTACTCAGCAGAATAAATCCATCTCTTTCCTGCATAGCAGACATTCAGAACTTAGAGGATCCTAGGATCACCACTCTAGTCCACGTAGGGGTCAATTTAGAGGTCATTTTATAACTGAGTAAACTGAGTCCCAGGAGTTTGGTCTGCCCAAAGTCACAAAGGTAGTAACAGGTGGAGCTTTGTTTCGAATTCAGGTCATATGACTCCAAATTCAGTGCTTCTACCATTTGAAGAAGGGAATACCTCCCTTCTCCCCTTGCCCCAGCCTTTTCCTCTCCAGGCAAAGCATCTAGTTCCTTCAATTGCTTCTCATATGGTATGAACTTGGGACCATCACAATTCTCATTAACCTCCTTAGAAAATTCTATAATTTAGCTTTCAGCATTACTTCAGTCAATTCTACCTCAGCTCTCTCTCTCTTATATCTTCATTTCCATTCCCAGTGAAATCACCTCTTATATTTCAGTGTGGCTCTTGTAACATTCCAAGAACTCTCAGCTGTTTGAAATCAGGGTATTGGACCACATGGCCACGGAGTTTCCTCTAAATCTGTGGCCCACTGGGGTATGATCTATGAGCCTTCTCACCTTGAGCTCTCCCCTCTAAAGTCTATTCTTTGTATAACTTCCTGAACATTCTTCCTGACACACGGATCTTCTCCATTGACTTCTTTTTCTTCTTTTTTGTTTATTTTTGTTTCTGGTGAGGCAATTGGGGTTACATGACTTGCCCAGGGTCACACAGCTAGAAAGGGTCAAGTGTCTGATCTGATATCAGATTTGAACTCAGAGCCTCCTGACTCCAGTGCTGGTGCTCTATCAATTACTGCACCTAGCTGTCCATCCCATGACTTCTTAACTCCAAAACACTCACTGGCTCCTGAATGACTATGGAAGAAAGTATGGTCTTCGAAACCTGATATCTGGACACCTATGCCATATAGCTGCGGTCTTCTTCTGTAATTCCTCATTTATGTGTTCTGCACCCTGGCCAAGTTGAATATTAACTGTTCCATTCTTGTCCTGGCCTTTCCCACCTCTGGGTCTTTACCTACTCATTACCACCCTCCACCTGGAATGGACATCTCCCTTCTCCAGCTTCACCTGCTTAAGCCTCTTTTGTCCTTCAGAGTCCAAGTCGTGAGGTCATCTTTTACAAGAGGTACCTTAGCCCCCACCTTTTACTGTAAGTCATTTCACATTCTTACAAGGCTTGTTCTCAATTTTGCCTTTGCAGTTACCCGATGTTCTCCTGTTTTAGTTATTCACTTGCAGGATTATCAGCACCTTGAGCGGACAGAACCCAGACCCTATCCATCTTTGTCCTTATGATAGCTCACATGGTGCCTTCCTCAGAGCAGGCAGTTAATTATCTCTAGTGAAATGAATTGAAATGCCATGCCAGGCCTCTCATTAGTGGTAGGTTTCCAGAACATTAAGCAATTTAAAATGGTGCCTAAATTGATATATTGTGAGGCCTTTGGTAAATAGATTTAGTCGGGGAAGAGTGAAAGAGTGTTGGGTTAGGAGTCCAGGAGACTGGGCCTGAACTCTCCCTCAGCCATTTACTCAGTACCTGGACACTAAGGGGAGCAGTCTTAGGCAAATCATTTCACTGGTCAGGGCCTTAGTTTCCTCATCTATAAAATGAGAAGGTAAGACTTAAGAATTTCTAAAGTCCTGTATGCAATGAAAAGTAGCCACCTGTGAGGGGATTTCTGGGCTCTTTCCCTCTAGGGACAGAAGCTGGGTGTCTGTCCTGGAGAATGACACCTATCTGCTCACCTTTCTCATCTCCCAAGTATGTACCCTTCAGATAATCCTTCAGGAATAAACCTCTTGTTTAATAGGTCTATGGGAAATCTCATCATTACCCACAATGCCCCAACAGTGATCAACTCAAAGAAGCCCCAAGACAAACCAGAAATGGACTCGATATCATTGACAGCAAATACTGCCACAGTGCGCTGAGGGAGACAGGGGTGAGACCTCTTCAGCCAATGCTGGAGGCAGAGCAGGACCATACAGCATATGATTGTGACCAGAATGATTAGCATCAAGGACCTGAAACAAAAGGGAGCACAGGAGAGTATTATGGAGAAGGCAGCTAAGAGTCCTTACAAAGGGGAACATTCGCCCAGTCCCATCTGCCATGCAATGCTTCTAAACCTCTGACCATAGAGGGTCCTTACCAGATGTACCAGCCACTCAGGGGTTGTTGATCTTGGCCCACACACCTGTCAAACCAAGGAGAGAGATATCAGACTATGAGACTGGCAGCAGCCACTAGGATTGAATGCCAAATGGTGTTATCCCGGGCAAAATCCCAGCTTCAGAGCTTGAAGGGTGAGTGCTAAGGAGTCAACTAGCCTGACCTCTCATTTTACAAATGAGAAAACTGAGGCACAGAGCCGAGAAGAGACTTGCACAAGGTCACATAGACAGTAAATGGCAGGGCCAAAGTTTCATGAGATCTTAGATTTAGAGCTGGCAAAATCTTCAGAAGCCATCACTTCAACTTTCTCCCTTTCCAAATGAAAAGACCGGTGGACTCCTCTGGGGAGGTGAACATAGATTTACCCAAGAAAAATGAGAGCAAGTGATAGAACTAGGATTTGATGTCAGCTACCCTAATGTCAGAGTCACACCTCTCTTCATCCTGAATTGCTTCTAAGGAGAAACGTATCAAGGCAAGAACAGAGAGAATCAAAATATCCAGTAGAAAAATCAAACTCAAGCTAAATAGGGAGACAGTAGGTGCATAGGTCCAGCTGTTGTTGATGAATTCTGAATACTGGGTCCAATGAGTTTTTCTTGGCAAATTATCAGAACTGGTGAGTGTGAGTGTGAACCACTGTCCATGATCTCTGCAATCATTCTTTTAAATTTTATTTATTTATTTATTTTGCTTAGGCAATGGGGTTAAGTGTCTTGCCCAGGGTCGCACAGCTAGTGAATGTTCTGTGTCTGAGGCTGGATTTGAACTCAGGTTCTTCTGAATCCAGGGCCAGTGCTCTATCCACTGCGCCACTTAGCTGCCCCCTGATCTTTACAATCATAATAGCAGTTAACATATCTAGTGGTCCTTTAAGTCTTACAAATAATTTCATATCTATTATTTCAATCCTCAAAAGAGCCCTGTGAGGTAGGTTCCCATTTTATACATGGAAAAACTGAGGCTGACAGATTAAACAACTTCCCCAGGATCATACAGCTACTCAGTATCAGAAACACGATTTGAACTCAGGTCTTCTTTACTCTGAATCCTGTACTGTATTCACTATACAGTCAGTGAAAGATGATGGCTTATGTGAAAGATACTACAAAAACAGAGAAAGGCAAATTTTGCCCCAGTTGAAAAAAAATGGAAGAGATTAGAATTTGCAAAATGTGGCCTATTGAGCTTGACTGATTCCTGGAAAAAAAATCCAAATGCATTATTAAAGCCATGGATGGTTAATGAACATCTAGAGAAGGATCTGGTGCCAAGAAGAATCCTTGGCATTAATGTGGCATTTTTTGCACATTATCTCATCTGAATCTCCCTCTGACTCTGGGGAGGTAGATACAAATTGTATTCTTCATAATTTAGAGATGAAAAGGGAACAGAAGAGAAGGGAAGGGGAAGGGAGGGAAGGGAAATAAACAGGAAGGGAGGGAAAGGAAGAGAAGGGAAGGATTTCCCCAAGGTTACACAGCTAGTAAGTTTCTAAAGTGGAATTTAAGTCCAGGTCTTCCATACCTCAATTCCATAACCATGTTCTGCACTAAGACATAATGCCTTGCCATAAATCTCACAAAATATTTTACCAGAATGACTTCATTTTCGATTTTGACAGGTAAGTAGACTAGACTTTAACTGAGTCAAAGGTGTACACATTTATCTGACTATTTGTCTCCCATTTGATTTTGACTCATTACTTTTGTGGACAAAAGTAACAAATATGGGCAGGTGTAGGCTAAAGAGTAGACATTTAGATAGATTTGATTAAATGGTTGGATCCACAGATTCATCTCTAATGGTTCAAAGACAAATTTGAATAAAGTCTATTTTGTATATAGATGGCATAAGTTGGGATGGGAGGGGCAGCTATCATACTGGATGATGGACTCAAGAGTAAAGAAAGTTTTGTCAGGCTGGTACATTGGGCAGAATCTAACAACAATGAAAATGACATTTGATAAAGATCAATGTAAAATGTACATTTAGGTTCAAAAAATCAAGGTTCCTAGTACAAGATGGAGAACAAGGAAATACGTCTAGGTAGGAGTTTGAAAAATAGTGTGGGGTTTTAGTAGGCTGAAAGCTCACCATGAGTGAAGAGAGGGATGTGTCCATCAAGGAAATTACTATGCCCTTAGGGAAGTTTAAGAGAAGCCTTGTGTCTAGGTAACACTGTTTCCAGGTGACAGTCATAGTCTACTGCGCTCTGGCCAAGATAAATTGGGAGTATTCCCTTAAATTCTGGTTGCCACACCTTAACAAGCTGAGAATGTCCAGAGGGGGTGCCTCTGGGTGGGGAAGGGCCTTAAGATGATGTCCTGTTAACACTGATTGAAGGAATTAGAGACGTTTAGTCTAGAGAGGAGAGGACTCAGTGGGCACTTAATGGCCATCTTCAAGGATCTGAAGGACTGAGATTTTGAGGAGGGTCAGAGGGAACAGAAGCAGCATTCATCTAGTGCCCACCATAGGACTGCCAGACACTATGCTAAGTGCATTACACATATCATATCATAAACTGGAGAGTTTAGGCAGAGGGTTTAGGTTTGAGCTTTTAGTCCCCCAAGGCAGATAGGGGAGCAATGGTTGGGATTGCAAAGGCTGGATTTCAGGAAAGCTGCCTTAATGAGCAGAGCTGTCCATGAGGCTGTCTGGGTGGTGGCTCCCAATTCAGGCCATTGGCCAAATGTTGGGGCTAGAGGCAGTTAAAGGAAAATGTGTCAAGGACAGTTTGGATAAGGCAATCTATGAGCATGCCAACTCTAAGGTTACTGATTAATGTGGTTCTTCTAGACTAGTCTCCCATCAAATACAAGTGATTCTGGAAGAAATCAAACCTTAAACCTTCATCAGATCACTCTAGCTATCCATTAACCCCCAGAAAATATTAGCAAGTACCGGAATGGCATAGGACAGGTACTGGGGATGGGGCAGGGAAGAAAATACAAAAAGGGAAGACAAGGGCATTGAGGCTAAGGGAAAATGAAAAGACTAATTCATCATTTTCCCCAAAGCTGGACCTTGATTCTTCCTTTCTGTCCATCTGTCCATCTCATTGGTCTCAGGTAATATGGCTATCAATAGGTTTGTAGACCTCAGCAACATTGAGGGTTTGTCTATTCAGATAAAACAGAATAGATCTAAGTAAGCTGGTTAAGTCAGGAAAAATATTCAGAACCTTTTTTTTGGGGGGGAAAAGGGGAAATATATCAATAATCTGTCCTAGGAGACATCTTTAGATTTCTTGAGGCTTAGTTTCTGCAGGAAGAGATTTGTTGTCATATGGCTTTACCTCCCAGGCTTATAGCACAGCAAATCTGTATATAGGAGGTAAACACTAAGTGAATATGATTATCCATAATTTCTGCCCACATTCAGGCTACGGGTCCGGTTGACTTGGGCCATTCTGGGTTTAGAGAAGCTACAGACTCTTCCTTTCATTTACCAACTCTTACAGGACCAGAATAATGTTCTTCAGCCCTTCTTTCTCTTTTTAAAACTATTATTAAAATAACACTCGGTATTTTTCATCTTTAGAGCATTCAGAAATGTCAAGTGATTCATTGGTCTCTCTAAGGAGGAGGCAGGTCATTTTTTATTGCTGTACCCATATAAAATGACTTCTAATATTTGTAGGGTCTCTTCTACTCAACTTAGAAATTGAACCCCAAACTGCACACCTAGAGTCAGTCAGTCAAGTTTGGTGAGTCTACTGCCTATGGGAAAGAGAGCTGGGTCTGAGTTCAAATCTCACCTCAGATTCTTGCTAGCTATGTGATTTTGGGAAGTTCACTTTGTCCTTCTGAGTCTCCGTTTCCTTATCTATAAGATGAAGGCGATGGATTTGGTGATCTCTAATGCACCTTCCAGCTCTGAAACTCATGATCATCAATCTGAACTTAAGTGATAGGGCTGAATCTCAAAACTCTCCCCGTCCACCCCCCGCAGGGTCCTCTGCAGGACAACATGGGTAAACCTTTGCCTTATTAAATCTCCATTCTTCCAACTTTCATTTACTTCCTCCTCAGCCAAAATTTCCCTGCCCTGGGACCCCTCCCCTCTGGGCTTATTTGTGTTACTCTAGAAATGGCTTCAAATGGTTTGATGGGCTATCCTTCATGGGTCCATAAACTTTTTAAAAAACTTGAATTATTACATTTCAATATAATCTGTTTCCTTTGGAATCCTATGCATTTTTGTAGTGCACTTAACCCCCCTGTCCCAACATTCTGAGAAGGGCTCCATAGGTTTCATCACACAGATTGCAAGAGGTTCCAGGACACAAAACCGGGGATCCAGGGACTAGACCATATGTAGACCTGACCTTGGTAACACCTGTCTAATCTAAACTGGATTTGGATACCAGTCCACTGATTTTCCCATTCCTTGCCTTCATGTTTACAATGCTGCCTTCCTTTTTCTCCTCAAGCTCCCTCTTTGTTTTGTCCTCTGATCACCCTGAGCTGGTACCTTAGCCCCAACGCCTGCCAGGTGTGGGGCCGTGACCTTGTCTGAAGGGCTTGACTAGCTGCTACCAGTTTCTGAGCCTGCTGATAAACTGGTGAATCAGGCATTGCCTGGCCAGCCTAGTGAAGGGACCTAGCTCCCAACTCTGCAGCCGAATTCCGACCAAAGTTATTAAGGCCGAATGCAGGGAAGCTTTAAAAATGAATGGAGAAGTCAAGGCATTGTTAAAGTAATTAACCTCCCTCACCACTTTGCATGAAATAGACAGGTAACAGAGTCCAGAGATGGGATTTTTTGACAGGAGTTAGTGAATGGCTACTCTGATCTCTGCTTCAATCTATGGGTGTCTGGGATTTCCTCTTTTTACCAAATACCTTGGCACTTGACCCAAGAGCCTGTCATCATGGATAGACTTGAAAAATCTGTCTTCCCCTCCTTTACTCAAGTCGACCTAAATCTCCCCTCCCCTTTAACAATCCTATTTGTATTCTTAAATTATTAATTAGGTTCTCCCTGTGAGGTTCTATTATTAGATTTTGAGTAATCCAGGATTTCTTCAAGACTTCAATAATGGCTTTGATCCTTTGACATTTTGAATGCCAAATTAAAGCCCTCTTGTTGTTTACTTACGTTTCATTTTCTTCACAGGTCGGGTCTGGGCTCACCAGCTGAAACAGAGATTTATAACAATAAACACTGAGCATCTTATCAGCCTAATCCTCTTCATCCAAATGGTGTCTGGAGACAAATGTGGGCTTATTGAGCTTCCTTTGTTTTTTAATTAAAAGCTCCGGAGAAGCAGGGCACTTTGAAAGGGAGTAGAATTCCAAATGAAGAAAGAACCTCTCTGGTTGTTTTCTGTTGGTGCAGAACAAGGCAAGGACGTCGATTTCCCACTTAGTGCCCATTTTACTCTTTCCCCCAGGTACAAGCTGGGGACTGGGGATCGATTTCAAGGTCTTCTCTGGCTTCAGGTAGATGCTGCCTTTAGACATGAGTTGGAAGCTCAAGGATGGTGGTGGTGATGGTGGCATGTTACAATACTCCCTTTGTTTCACAGATTGACTTTCCAAATTTTTTCAAAGGACTTTGTGGTAATTATTCGTTATTTGACCTCTCTCTGCCTCAGTTTCCTCAACAGTAAAATAGAGATAAAGATACCTACTTCACAGTGTTGTTGTGAGGATCAAGTGTTACAATAACTACAAAGCTCTTGGCGCAGTGGCTGGGACGTAGCTGGCCCTTAATATATAGATATAGATAGATACATAGATAGAGATATATAGATAGGTATGTAGATATAGATATAGATATAGATATAGACATAGACATAGACATAGTAGGTAGATAGATAGATAGATAGATAGATAGATAGATAGATAGATAGATAGATAGATAGATAGATGGATGGATAAAATCCACAATTTTGTAATCCAGTATTTTGGAGGATGCTGGATGTAGAATTGGAATAGGCCTAGAAAGCCTTTAGTCTGAGGCCATCATCTTACAGAGGAGGATCCTGGGGCTTATGGAGAATGGTCTTGCTCAAGGGCATACAAGTGCCAGGCAAGTGACTAGATCAGGATTAGTCACCAGGTCCTGGTTCCAAAACTTTGGGGAGTTCTTCCCAGTTTCCCTTTCATCATGCCCAGAAAAATAGACACATGACATCTTCCTCAACAAGGATGAAGTGTTTACACTGTGGAATGAACCTTCCCCACCTATGGAAAAAAAACCCTTCAAGAAGATCCCATTTGAAAGGGGAAGACAGGTAGCCATGTAAATATGTGCTGTCTGCTTTCCTTTCACTAGACCCTCTGGGCATTGTTCATCATCTGTCCTCGAGGGTTGAAAGCAAAATCAAATCAAATCAAATCACACCTTTGGAACTTCAGAATCTAGCCCGGATTGGATTGCATCTAGTTTCATAGAAGATTCCCCACCGCCAGGTAGAACACCAAAGTAGCCATCTTCAGAAGTGTAACTAGCATAGGTGACTCATATCCAAAAAGCTTCTTTGGGAGTTGGAGGTTGGGGTGGGGAGGGAGGAGCTTTCTCTCTCCAGCAACCAATCTCCCACCACCGTGCCTTGAGGCCTCCCTCTAGCTCACCCCCCATGGGATAAGCCATGCCCGGAACATCATCCACTAGATATAATTCCTGGAAAGACCCTTTTCTGGAGCCTGATTCCCTCTGCAATCCCATCACAGTCTTAGGCTGAGCCTTCCACATGTGACTGCCCTGGACAACAGGACTGCTCTCTGGGTCGTTATCATACATCCCCCATTCATCCTCTGTCCAGCTGGCTCTGGCATTGCTGTAGGGATCTCTAGCAGCACCTCTGGTTATACCAGTTTGAGACAGGCCATTTAGCTGAGGCATAGCCCTTTTGGGAGGTCTTTGCTTGGGCTGAGGTATTTGACTGGTTCTACTAGAGAACTGCCAGTGGCAGTTGGCTCAATGAATCGATGACAGTGTCAGGAGCTAAAAGCCAGGCCCAGGAGTGCCCTCTTCAATTCCCAAGTGGTGTGAAAGCTGCTCTGTACACAGTCCTAATCGCCTATGTCCCTTTGCATCTCTCATTCACTCCACAAGTTTCTCGCAGCACAGAGATCTGGGGAGGTACAGATGGAGAAGTGAATGAGCCATCAGAGGACATGGTAATGAACGATTTATAAGCAGAGAAAATGAGTTACCTTCCATTTTGTTCAACTATTGCAAGTCACTTTGCATACTAATCGAGATGAAAATGAAGCTGCAAATGTTGTCTATACAAGGGTTTATGTATGGGCTGAATTAATCACTGGGGATCAGGCTGAACTGAGAGGGCCACCACGTTTCAGGGCTCTGTCTTGCCTATGCAACCTGCTCTGACCATACATGGTGCAGAGGTGAGCAGTGGATACCCCTATATATTATCAGCGAGAAGCCAGCAAACCTCCCAGCCATTATCAGCCTTAGGGAGGGTGATGTGGGCAGGCAATTTGGAACTGACCCCATTTATCTGGTGTTTTGGTTCAGATATTCAGTTGTAGAGATGCTGACATTCATCAGGATGGTTCATTTCTTTTTTTTCTTTTTTTTTTTTTTGCATCCCTGGTGCCTAGTTAAGTGCCTACCATATAAGTACTTAACATGCAGTTTGATTAATTGATAGATGGACAGAATCAGAAGGAACAATAAGAAAGCAAACTCTTATAGCTGGGGGTGGCATTTCACGTTTCTAAGCTCACAAGATTTGAAATAATTTTAGAGCTGGAAGTTACCTTAGAGAATATCCAATCCAATTTGCTCATTTTCCAGATGGGGCAACTGAGGCCCTAGTTTTGAAGTGTGACCCTAGACAACTCACTTTTCCTGTCTGGCCCTCAGTCTCCTCATGTGTATGAAAGTTTTGGGCTTCACAGACTCCTTGGTCTTTTCTAGCTCTGAGGCTGGGATTCTATGATCCTATGTATTGTCCCAGCCGGGATGTGACTCTACCCCCTTGAACTCCAAATCAAGAGAAGAGACTTAGCAAGCCACTGGTAGAAGGGAATCTAGGAGCCATCTAATGTCCCTTCCTCTCAATTTACAGAGGAGGAAACTGAGATCCAGAGATCTCATGTGACTTTCTTAGAATCCTGGAGATGGAAAAAGTGAGATGTAACCTGGGCCTTCTGCTCTTTCTCCCTCACCATCCTATTCACATTACATCTTAGTCTTTAGATCCTATGAATAAGTTGATTTAAAAAAATGTTCCTGGCATTTAATCAGAGCAATGTAATTTTGCTCCTAAAGGAATAGAGTTAATGAAAAGAGGAGGTGGGGCAGAGAAATAATATGGTTATAATGGATACATATTTCATGGTTCTTTCTTATCCCAGCTAAAGTAAAAATGCCTAACAAGTTTGCTACTTTTTTCTTATAAAATTGTTGATAATTAAGTTATTCAGAGGATGAAGAACATAAGCTGTGCCTAACCCTAAAGTCTGTTCCTGGAGGAGAGATTTTACCTGGAAAAGTGTCAAGCCCATGGCTCCAGTCCTTGGGAGCAGTGAGGTGAAGCTTGCCCCTTTGGGTGGCCACATGCCGATCAGGGAAGCTCCTGGGCTGGCTGGATGCTTGGTGGTCGAGCGTGTCTTCCCGGGATGCAGAACTCAGGTGTTGCCCTCTGGATCATGCTCCGTGCATGGCATGTGTTAATGATCTCTGCCTGTGACTGGCAAATTATATGGCTGGGGAAAGAATGCCCTCACACACTCCAGCAGCCACCGGAGCCCGAGGAATGTTCATGTAAAGGTCAGGCCATCCGCAATGTGGACGCTGGCCCTTTGCAGCAGGGGATCAGGAATGATGACCTGAAAGGTGGCCTGGCATCCAAAGGCCACAGCAGGAGCTGCTCTGCCCTCTACACGTAGATTCAGCCCTCTTTTTGCTGGCATCACTGCTTGATTTTGTTCTCCTCAGTCAGAGTGCCATCCTTCTCCCCTCCCAGCTTCCTTGGCTGTGCAGTAGACTTGGAATCAGGAGCAGTATTCAAGTCCCCATAGATACCTACTGATTGGGAGACCATGGGCATATCACTTTTTCTCCCAGCCTCAGTTTCATCTCCTATAAAATGGGGATAATGGTATACCTCTAGTACTTACCCACACATCAAAAAGATAATGTATGTAAAATGCTCTAGGAATGTTGGTTATGATTCTCCAAATCCCTACCATCCTGCAAGGAACTCAAACATTTTCTTCCTTGCATTGCCTTCTCCAGGGGCTCCAGTAAACCTTGATCTAACCTGGCTCTGTACCTTGAGCATGATTGAGAGCTACAAGGAATGATTCCCTATTTCTCTGAATGACCCATGTGGGTTAGCCCAGATGAGCTCCCTGCCTCGGTGTGCTAATGTCAGAGGACACAGGGCAATTTGTTGTTTTCAATCACACCTGTCAGTAATTCTCAACCCCAACAAGTCACCGAGGCCCATGGCCCTCACTTGGATGAGGTCTCTTCCTGTGCTGAGATTCTTGGACATGAGCAAGGAGTCATAAGCAACTTGTTGGAGTAGAGAACTTAGAAATGCCATTCCTGAATATGTGTGTGTGCTCATGGATGATGCGTTTGTGTTATTCCGTTCATTTCCTGAGATAAGTGTGACAGCACTCATTAACCATCTTACGGTCAAATCTTCTATTTGGAGCCACAAGGCCTGTGTTTGAATGGAGGCTCTGCTACTTAACCCTGCGGCCCTTAGTTTCCTCTTCCATAAGAGGAGTGGGTTGGACTGGATGGTCTCTGAGGCTCCTCCCAGACTTAGCTCTACTATCCTGCGACCTCCAGCTCTAAATTCACGTCCCTATCATTCTGAGGATCATTCTAGGCATGGAGTAGAAACTCCCTGAGTTGACTGTGATGTGTGGGGAGGTGGTTTCTTTCCTGGCTAGGGAAAGACTTGTTTGATTCGTTGTCATGGACAGCTGCCTAGAATTCACAGATCATAGCTGTGTGCACTGGATCCAGGCTCTCCTTCATTCTTTGGAGAGGTCTCTTGGGGTTGCCAGTTTAGGTTCTCAAGGTCAGAGATTCAACTTCACTTCCAGCCTTCTGATCATGGAATGAGTGAGCCCCTCAGGGAAAGCTGGCACTTGAACTTTCTCCTCTAGTCATCAAATGGTCACTGTCAATGGTTAAGGTGACCAATTGGGTATGCTGTAAAGGGACAGCTGAAATAGATGGTGTAAGATGAATGGACCAATGAGTTTCACCTTGGTCAACTTCATATGAACATAGAGACAGAATTGCTGCTCTATCCACCCAAGCAGTAGAAATGGAAGGAAGACCAGTCTTCAATGAGAGACACCCTACACTTCCATTTTCCCTTTCCCTTTCTTTCTTCCCTTCCCCTCTTTCACACCCTCCCTGTGAATGACCTCCGAGAATCCATCTGGACTTCTTGACTTCTCAGATTGCTTGTATAAGATAGAAATCACCAGCTCTTTTCTTCTTGTGGGATGGACAATTACCAAGCCTTACCAGCTGCCCTTCAACTACAACCTTAGGACACCTGGGTCTTTCCATGCCTTCTTCCACTGGACATTTTTTCATGTGTCATCTCCCCAGTTGGAGTGTAGGAGGAAATACTTCATTTTTTTTCTTAGTGTCTCCAACACTGAGTATATGGTAAGTATTTAATAAAGGATTTTTCATTCATTCATTACAGGAGGATATAATGAGTACATCAATATAGTCTGAAGATTTCACTGGCCCCAAGGCTCACTCCCTTTTGAAAAGATGAACATCTAGTAATTGAACAAAGGAGAAGGTTAAAGGCCCAAATATTCCTAGTGAACTCACTCATTATGTGATCTGAAAGGTAAAACCTGGGAAATCTACATTAGAAATCACAAGAGGCCTTTCCAGGGAATAATGACAATAATAATAATGATATTATTTTAATAACAATGAGTACTTATATAGTGCCTTAAGGTTAGCAAAACACTTCATAAATATGATTTCATTTTATCCTCATAAAAACCTTTAAAAGTAGGCATTATTATTATTTTCATGTCACAGATGAGGAAACTAAGGCAGACAATGACTATGGTACTTGGCCCAGGGTCACACAGTTGATAAATGAAGCTGGATTCAGACTCAGGGCTTCTTGATTCCAGAGCCTGATTCTTAGGTCTTCTTGGCTCCCTATCCACTGCACCCCTATCTGGTGAAGGGGAGTTCCAGGAACATGTGAGGACAGAGGAAATTTAAGATAGTAAGTGTCTGGTACAGCACAGCTGTTAAAACAGAAACGAATTACAGGCTTGAGGAACACTGGACTCATTGGTTGTTGTCACTCCTTCATTCTCAAGGAGGACTGTGCCATCAGGGAGGTGATCTTGGGGCATACAGGCTAGATTTCTTTCTTTCGGATCATGCTTTGAACCTAACTCGTTCTGGTTCTCAATTACTCGCCAACAGAACATCCTGGGCCAGCCCCACTCGATCATCGTTTGGGCCCCAACTGAATCAGAGTGAATGTAAATAACAATTGTTAATGGTTTGGATTTATTGGGCCTTGATTCAGAAGATGCATTCTGAGTTCTGGTCTTCTGCACTTATTGGAAACTTTGTGGAGTCTACCTCTTCCTCTCAGCACCCTTGGCTGGGAGAATGGGGATGACAATCCTTGCACTGCTCACCTTATAGGGCAAGGCCAGGACCTTATGAGAATTTTTGAACTGTAAAATGGCAGATGCTTTTCATCTTGACTTGGAGAGCTGAGATTCATGGAAAATGAGCACTAGAGAGGAAGCATATGCCAGTGAGATTTGAATTTGGAAACTGGATTTGTCTTCATAAAATCTCAGAGTTGGAAGGAAACTGCTCAGTCACCTTGTGAAACCCTACTGTGCATACTGACCTGTCTGGCAATGGGTCATCCAGCTCTGGCTTGAAGACATGCAGTGAAGGACTTCTCCCATCCCACCCCAACACACACAGCCTATTCGGCATAAAGAGTTCTCTAATCGTGATGATGTTTCTTTTTACATCCAGCTTGAATCTAACACTTTGCAACTGCCATCCATTGCTGCTTGCTTTACATTCTAAGCCCCAAAGAATAAGCTTAATACATCTCCATATAATGCCTGAAGACAAGTTATCAGACAGCACAGCCCACCTTGCCTCCCAGTCTATATTTCTGAAGGCTAATCACCCCATATTTGTTCAACTAATTTGTGTATGTGGTGTCCAAGCCCTTTACCACTCTAGTTGTCCTCTTATTATGGCTCTCTGGCCTTGGAGTCAAGAAAGAGCTGAGTTCAAATGCTCTCTGAGCACTCCTTACCTATAAAAAAATAGGTAAGTCACTTAGCATCTCTAAATCTCAGTTTTCCCATCTATAAAATGAGGACATTTGGGCGATACCCTGTCGTGTTGTTTACCTGGGTTTAATTTGTAAGCCACTAAAACCTGTGGAGATTTTGCCCGTTACATTCTGTTTCGTTCCATCTGATACTTGTGGGGATGATTTTTGACATCAAGTATAGTACTTTATGTTTTTCCCTATAAAAATTCATTGTATTTGAATTCACTAGGCCTTGTATATATGTGTATATATGTTTATAGACTATATACGTGTGGTTATAACATATATGTATGTATACATATGTATATGTATACATATGTACCTGTTCCTATCATTCAACATATTAGCTATCCTTCTGAACTTTAAAAAAATAAATATACACTACATAAGCATACATCTTTACCCTTATTTCAATCATTAATAAAAATGTTAAATAGTGTAAGACCAAATACAGGTGCCTAAGGCATTTGCCTCCATTTTACTTTGAGACTAAAACAAAACAATCTGTATTGACACCTTTTGTCTTTACATCATCTACATTTCTTAGTGTTTGCCTTATCTTACACATGCCAGGGAACCATCTCTTATAATAAAGGGGAAGGGAGAGAAAGGATAGATGGGTTGATAGCTAGATAGCTAGTTAGGAGAGAGAGAGGGAGAGAGAGAGAGAGAGAGAGAGAGAGGAGAGAGAGAGAGAGAGAGAGAGAGAGAGAGAGAGAGACAGAGAGAGACAGAGAGAGAGATTTTTTTTTTTTTTTAGTGAGGCAATTGGGTTTAAGTAACTTGCCCAGGGTCACACAGTTAGTAAGTGTCAAGTGGTTGGTCTGAGGCCGGATTTGAACTCAGGTCCTCCTGACTTCAGGGCCAGTGCTCTATCCACTGAACCACCTACCTGCCCCCAAACTTCATCCCCTCAGGGGTACTCCTAGAACTATTTTTTTTCCTTTTGTTTTTTTTTTTTTTGGTGAGGCAATTGGGGTTAAGTAACTTGCCCAGAATCACACACAGCTAGTGGGTATTATGTGTCTAAGAGCAGAATTGAACTCAGGTCCTCCTGACTCCAGGGCCAGTGCTCCATCCACTGTGCCATCTAGCTGCCCCTTTGAGAGAGAGAATTTGTGAAGAAATTAATATATAGTCAAGCACTATGCTGCACACTGAGAGTACAAATGCAAGCAAAAAAGAAAGTCCTTGCCCTCAAGGACCATCCAGAGGGTGAATGAAACTCATGAAAAGGTAGTTGGGGCTCAGAAAAGAAGAGTCATGGGAGAGAAGTCTAGAAGGTCAGAAGCAGAGTCAGGAGAGGAGTTAAGGAATGAGCATTGCTGGCTTCGGCACTGCCCCAAATGGAGGTGCTTTGGAAGAAGTCACCGATCAGCAGAAGTGGCCACAGCGTGTAGACATCATTCAGAGTGAG